ACCAGATACAGCAAAATTATAATACTTTTTATAAAAAAAGATCTATTGGTAATTTTCAATCTTAGGAGATTTCTTATACTTTTTTTGAGCTTAGAAAACCTATGCTTGGCTGATAATCTGAATATGAAAGCTTGGGGTAAGGGTGAGATTGTACTCCAGCAGTGGTTTAGTGTCTCATCCTTTTTTCCAACCGGGTTGCTTGCCAACAAGAGCTTATTCGTTTCGACACGGGGGCTTAATACTATCAGAATGATACTCATCAACTGTTTGCCCATGATGCCACCGATGCTTGCCAGTTCTTCTGACAATGCTATCCCTCAACTCCCTAGCGCACGAACAAAGATGTGCCCGGCTTGGCGAACAAGGTAAACCCAGTTCCTTTCGTGTGTCCGGGTGAATTTAATTCAGTCTTAAATGATGAATAACTGCAAGTTGTGACTAAAGCAGCATCTGAAACTAGCCAGATTCAGCTTTCATAGCAGACCATCTAGTATACGGAATCTGTACGTTGAAGCTTTTAGAGGACAAGAGGGTGAGCAGGTATTGAGTGCTTACCCTTCGTTGAAAACCCGTAACGGAAGGAGAATAGTCTCATATTATTTTACGGAATGCCCTCTATCCTAGTTTAGATATGATTATACTAACTTTTTTTTAACTTTTTTTTTGACAGCACCAGTTTCTTCTTGCTTTTGAAATACTCACATTGGAGGAACCTCATGAGTTGGCTGACTAATAAGCCGCACAATAATGGAACTGAACACACAATGGCAAAAGGCAAGCTAAGAATTCTTCCGTAGATTTTTTACATGCAGTTCTTGAAACACATCAATATCCTCTGCCACGCACAATGGAGTTGCCATCATTGATGTTGAGTGGTGCTCCTGTTCGACACGCTCACTCGTGCCTCAGCCTTTCCAACAAACTTTTTCACACACTATTCGAACTCTTGAGCCCCACAGGCCTTCCCACTACAACCGATAGCTCACCACCCGAAAATAGGGTCATTCTCTCTGTCGGTAGTGGGACAGGACTGCTTGAGAGCCTCATGATATCATACTTCGCCTCCTTAAACCAGTCGACCTATCCCCAATCAGCATGTCTGAGCGTTGAAGGTGTAGAGGTATGGCAGGCGGACAACGCAGAATCAACCAATAGATACTTGCCTGAACCTTTCATCAACAGCGTACGAAGCTCTCGAGAGATCTCGTCCCGCCTAAGAGACCCAGAGGTATTCGCCATCATGTTTGTGTATCCTCGCCAACCGTCTCTATTATCTCTCTACATGACAACAATACTCGAAATGAAATTAACGAAGAGAGTTGTGATATGGCTGGGGCCTGCCGCTGATTGGGCTGAATATGAGTCTTGTTTCAAGCGCAGTGATGTCAGTCACACGCTTGATGTGTATGAAGGGGATGATGTCGGGATAGGCTCATATGAAATGATGGCTGTTTGGAAGTTTTAGTCGTGACTTAGGAATTTGCAACTCCTAAGCAGACCAATTAGAAGCCGCCATCAACTTGCTGACGCACTTCGTCTCATTCACGAGGTGAGACTCTTGAAGAGTCGAAACAACAGAGCCAATTGAGCGCCAAAATCAAAAAGAGATTACAGGTAGTCGAATGGACATGAAAAGGGACAGGGAATTCACAATTTCATGATAAAAACAGGGCGGTTCAGGCTTCTGATTTATCTTACAAGGGTTAGTTGAAGTAATTTAGTGGTATACAGGAACAGATTCCCTTAGTTATTTAAGTGACATTTCTGGTTCATAATATATAACCAGATTGTGCAAAAAACCCCTTCCTTGATTGATGTATGTCAATCTTCACGGCTCTATTGATAGATCTTTCCTCCCCGCTTTGCGAATGCTATCCGGCTTAGACCGCTGTGACTCTTCCAGCCACTTGCTTGTCTGAGGTAACTTCGGTCTGAACCTCGCTGCTGTCAGAAGTGCTGAGGTTGTATGGAGCCTTCATGAAAGGGTAGCGGCCCTTTAACTCCTTGTATCGCATAAGGAGGAAAGCCATAATAATACATAACCAATATAGGTTGTAAGAGATGACGGAACCGTAGGTTGCCGAGTTGGTCCAACCAAAAATAGCGGTGAAAATGTTCCAGCCTCCATTGTTTTGGATTTTGGGGGAACAGCACTATGTTTGTTAACAAAAATAAGTGGTAGTGACGAGAATGGAAGAACTCACGTTCACATGCCAGACACTCTGGTCAATATCATATGATCCTGCACCTGAACCAAACTCTGCAGCCTCTCCGCCAATCTTCTCGTTCCATTTTTGGTTCTCGAAGCTCCATACACCCCGAGAAAACAAACCGGCTGCAACGAGATAGAGTAGACAAGTTGAGATGACGAGAAAAAGTTGGAGTCGGGCAGTGGAACCTCCCCTGTTGAATGTTAGCAATCCCTTCTCAAGTTGACCTATTTGACATGAAAAACACTCACTTGTAAAGGACATAGCCTACCAAACCACCAGCGATAAGACCGACAACAGTGGGCAAGGGAATAGCAGTCGCCGTGGAAGAAAACGAGACTCCGGCGACGAATACCACGGCCTCAATCCCCTCACGTAAAACAGTGATGAAGGGCAGTGCGAACATGGCATAACGCTCGAAGAAAATCTTCCACCAGTTCTTAGAGCCTGCTTTTGGCGATTCCTCGAGCGACTTCGCAAGCTTCACGCGCCATTTCGCCTGCATCTTTCCGATGCGGAGAAGAGCAGCCCCCATAATCGAGATGATGAGTGATGCAAAGATGCAGAAAGCTCCTTCGTAGTAGAGTTCATTCTTCCCCCAGGCGTCCTTGCCCTTGGTATAGAAGATACCGATTATGGCGCCTGCGATAACCATACAGAGCAAGAACCCTATTCCAGCTCCAAGCCAGACCTAGCACCTGGTTAGCCGCAGTAAATTGAATAGGCAGATTTCATGGCCACTATACCTGGCGTCTTAGCCGCTTGTAAATAACGACGTCGCCATCGGGACCTCCAAGGGTTTGCTTGAGGAAAGCCAGTAAGACGGAGAGGATAATGACGGCCTCGAGAGACTCTCGAAAGACGACGAGGAAGACTGGAACGGCGAAGACGTCTACAGCCATGGTGGCGGAAGGAGGGTCACGGCTCGCAGATAGCTGCAGATGAAATGCAGCTCTGAAAATAACAAGGCCGAGGGAGGGAGGCTAAAATGAACGGGCTAATCTGAGACCAACAGACAAGTGCCTACGAGAGAAGAGGGAAGGGTGGCGTGAAGAGAGGGAAGCAGGAGGTGTAAGTAAGTAGAGGGAGCCAGGGACGGAATGGCCCGATTCAAGTCTAATGCACTGATGATCTAAATGTGAAGAGATAAAGAACCTAATTCCTCGGATCAGATAATCGTACTTGTAAGGTGTCATTGGCTGCGTTTGACTGTCACACTTTGTGTCTCGTACCTGGTACATCTGCCCAAATCCCACGACAAGGGGCATCAATCGGGAAAGCAGCTTGTCAACGGCTTCTGAGACCAATCACACATGCATCATTGGAAAATTCAAAGCTTCGGTCTAGAATGTAGGCCCGGATGAATCGGCACACGTGGCTGCAGGACGGCTGAAAAGCTGAAGTCCCCACCAAGCTATCAAACGCCCAATGTGGCAGAGGAGAAGAGAAATGGCACCACTATTCCGACCTCGTGGGAGGCGTGAATTCAGGTGCCACGGGGGTCATAGAGCCAGGAGGGTTTCTGTGGAAGTTGATGTTACAATGTTGTTGCCAGGGTGGGTGCAACTGCTCGGTCGCCGAGCTCTTGTGTAGCGCTCCAGATAATCATAGCCCAGACAAGTAAAAATAAGTAAGGTGAAGCGCAGCTCCGTGTGGGTTACCTACTCTAAATTACCATTTAGACCAGGGTCTTGCAAGGAATCACAGCCATACTCCGAATTAGCGTCGGTATTCTGGGGATGGTCTCGGCTCAGTCGTCCAGCCCCCGCTTGCTTAATGAGTAGACTGAAGCTTTTCTTTTCCCTCTTTTAATTTGTGGAGATTCGAGTATCTTGTTCTCGTGTTTCCTTTCAGGGAATTGAGTGGCTGTCGCGCCAGAGCGATATACGCTTGATGGTGAGACCGCGTTGGAATGTTGCTCAAGCTTTCTTGTTCAACAGCTTTTAATAAACCTGATATGTATGGATGCTCTACTAAGAACCGTCTATCACTGTGTAAGGTAGTAGAATACCCCTGCTTGTTGTCTGTTCGTGCATACGCTTCAGGATGCTGAATCACGAGACGCCATGCCATGCCATGATGCTGAGGGCTGTCTCGTAATGCCCAAAGAAGAAAAAACCCTCAATCCATCTAATCAATCCGCAGGGGCCTCTTTCAGTCTGCCTCATTGGGCAGGATCGATTGATAAGATGGTGGCGTTGGTCAAGTGAACAGAAATTTCATGACCTCAAGTCACCGTCTCCTCGGCTCCCCCCAACCAAAACGACTATCCGTTCATATTCTGGAAGCGCCATGCTAACTAAATCAAGAAGATCGTCTCGGAATTACGGCACCTTGTCCCACCTGGCTACAGATTTGCAGACAGAGAAACCATGCAAGTGACACCACGGGCACTCCCCTGCTCGGAACAGTCTTGGCTCTCCAGCTAACAAATGCAATTGACCTGCCCAGGTCGTTTGTTGTATACAATACCTGCCATCGTTAAATGTCGGAGAGGGCTGTGGAATGCTAGAGCTTGGCCTGAAACCAGCCGATATATCAGCTCATCTTTGCCACCTTGGATGCGCTACATTTGGTGCTCCCTCGGAGATTGTCACGGTGGCCGAGCTGAGCTGAGGATCGTGGGTAAAACTTCGTATTCTAGCCCCCAAGCCTGAATCATTGCCATCTTATCAGATCCGGGCGTCCATTCTGCCTGTCCGTCCATTTAGATGCGACTTTTGACGCCTTCTCTCCCCGTCCCCCATCCCATTTGACTCTACTGCCTCTCGCTGTTCCTCCCACTGCGCCATGGCTCGGGCCTTCATCCAGAACGTGGCACTGTCCGCGTTCGCCCTGTCTCACCTGGCGTCGGCAGCAACAATTCAGTATGACTTCGACATCGGTTGGGTGAGAGCCAATCCAGATGGCGAGTTTGAGCGCCCAGTTATCGGCATCAATGGCCAGTGGCCCATTCCCACCATTTTCGGGAGCGTTGGAGACCAGATCATTGTCAATGCCCATAACAGCCTGGGCAATCAAACCACCTCGCTGCATTTTCACGGCCTCTATATGAATGGCACGACGCACATGGATGGTCCTGGTGGTGTGACGCAATGCGACATCCCTCCTGGATCTTCCATGACCTACAACTTCACGGTTTGTGGACAAAGACATCTCCCTTTCAATTGGGAGGAATGCTAATTCGGGTGCATAGCTTTCCCAGCCAGGAACATATTGGTACCATTCTCATTCGCACGCTCAATATCCGGTGAGCCCGTCCCGCGGCGCATTGTTATGTAAAGGAACCAATACTAATAATTATCAATAGGACGGACTCCGTGGTCCTCTCATCATTCATGACAAGGATTTCCCGTACAAGGACAAGTTTGACGAAGAGCACGTCCTCACACTTTCGGATTGGTACCATGACGAAATGCAAGAGATGGTCCCCAAGCTTTTCATGACCAAGAACAACCCGTCAGGAGCAGAACCCGTACCGAAGAATGCACTCATGAACGAGACTGTCGGTTTCAAATTCCCGGTAAAACCCAACACCACATATTTGTTCCGTGTGATCAACATGGGCGCGTTTGCTGGCCAATATCTCTGGTTCGAGGGCCACACGATGCGTATTGTGGAGGTTGATGGTATATACACGGAAGAGGCCGAGGCTGAAATGGTCTATCTCTCAGCCGCGCAGCGTGTCAGCTTCTTGCTCACGACAAAGAACGATACCTCTGGTAATTTTCCTATTGCTGCCAGCATGGACACTGTAAGATTATCCCGTTTCTAAGATTGATGTCTAAGACAGTATTGACATATACCTGATAGACTCTATTCGATATTCTTCCAGATGATCTCAACTACAATTCAACAGGTTGGCTCGTTTATGACGACAAGAAGGATCTCCCTGCCGCAGCAACAGTCGAATCTCTCGACCCCTTTGATGACATGACATTGGTGCCATATGACAAGATGGAGCTATTACCAGAACCCGATCGTGTGGTTCAGCTTGATGTGGATATGAACAATCTGCGGGATGGTATGAACTACGCCTGGTTCAACAACATCACCTACAAGGCACCCAAAGTTCCTTCGTTATATACCGCACTCTCTGCTGGCGAAGACGCTACAAATCCGGCAGTCTATGGAACTTGGACGAATTCATTCGTTCTCGAGAAGGGTGAAATTGTCCAACTTGTGGTGAATAATCTTGATACCGGCCGGCACCCATTTCACCTTCACGGCCATGCCTTCCAGTCCATTCATCGCTCAGACGAGGATGGAGGCTTATGGGCAGACAGCCCTGTTACAGAAACAGACCTCCCCAAGACTCCCATGAGACGAGATACTCTGGTTATTTATCCCAGCGGCAACGTTGTGTTGCGCTTCAAGGCAGATAACCCAGGTCAGTAACGTAAAATAAACTCAGAAGAACTCCTCCCTGACTTTAAGTAAACCCTAGGTGTGTGGCTCTTCCACTGTCACATCGAATGGCACGTCGTCTCTGGCCTCATCGCCACATTCGTCGAGAGTCCGCTTGACTTGCAGAAAACCATTACGATCCCACAAGATCATCTGGATGTATGTCAGAAACAGAACATTGCCACAAAAGGCAATGCTGCTGCCAATGCTGTGAACTTCCTCGATCTCACTGGAGAGAATGAGCCTCCGCCACAATTGCCTTCCGGGTAAGATTCTTCCGTTTATTACCAGTTCTGATCTCATAACGAGTTTGACTAACCACGGCCGCCCTATACAGATTCCAGCCTCGTGGCATTGTTGCTCTCGTATTCAGCTGTATTGCTGGTATTGTCGGTACACTGGTCGTCGCCTGGTATGGCCTGGCACCAATTCCTGAAACAGAGACTGGAACCGTGGGTAGCCCATTCTTTGCGGATTCTGGGGCAAGCAACAATTCCAAATCAGCGAATATCGGCGAAGGCACGAGACCCAATGACGTAGCTGCAGATACAACCGCCGATACGCCCGATAGGGTGACGGCAGTAAAGCCATGATGATAAATGACATTCATGTCGTATGTGGAGGAAATGGTTAGTAGAGTAGAGTACTTTCTATTCCAGGCGCTCTCCAGTAATATCATTTGTTAGCCTTTCATGCATCAAAATAGTTTAAATGAACAAATAGGGAACTAAGTGAGTTTTATATGAGTCAATCTACATAAGCATACATTTCGTTCATCTCGACAACCTCCATGTCCTGATGAATCGAAGAGGAAATTGCCAACCTACAGCCTAGCCCGGATATTGAATTTATCCAAGTATTTCTCAGTTCTGATGCCGAGATCACATATCGTAAGTTTCAATCACAATCAATTATGCGTTGTATCTAGAAAAAAACTGCGAGGTTGCAAGTAAAATCTTCATTTTACAGACATCTGTATCTGAAAATTCTACAACCATGATCTATGTGTGTTCCATCCACGCAATCTATACATCTAGGACTTGTGAGGTAATGCGCGAATTATTTGATATGCTTCTTGACAACTTCAACAACTTCCTCATCAGTCAGACCCTTCAAACCCAGCAACTTGTTATCTGTCTTCTCAAAGTTCGCCCCCATAGAGGGATTGAAGATGGACTGGTAAAGGTTGCCCAGAACAACATCATTGTCGAAGATTCCCTGCGCTAGCTTGGCGTCACCCTTGGCAGCTAGGTCTGCCAGCTTGACATGCTCGACCTCCCATGGCTTTTCTGGAGCCACCTGCTTAACAATAGACAGGAGCTTGTTCTGAGTAATCTTGGTGTCCTCAATGTACACGGGGCGATTCTTGGTCTCTTCAGGGTGCTCCAAGACACCAATTACGGCATCTGCTACCGTAGAGAGTGTAGTAGAGGAGAAAGTGATATCGCCGCCATCGATAATCATGGGCTTATAATTGGACACTCGAAGAGTAAAGTCATGATCCAGACCCCAGTCCAAGAAAGCAGCGTTGTAGACAAAGGTATAAGAGAGGCCCGTAGTCTTTGATTTCTCAATAAGATAGTCTTGTACTTGGACCTTGTAGGTGTAAACAGAGAGCTTGCGGGTGCTTGGAACGTCCAGGTTGGAACCAAACTCAGAGGGGATGAACCTCTTGACACCAGCAGCGATGGCAGCGTCAATGATGAGCTTCTGCCCGGCAAGCAGCTCTGTGCCGGCGGTAGACACCACCGCATCTTGGCCCTTGAGAGCTTCTGTGAGCGACTCTAGAGACTGGAAGTCGACATTGACAACATTGATGCCGGGTGCGAAGGTAGACTTGGACCCATGTCGTCGGAGAACCTTGATGTTGAATTTACCAGAGGCCACGAGCTTTTCGAAAACGACTGACCCAAGGCTGCCAGAGGCACCCACAACTGCAACGTTCTTGATCGCAGACATGTTTGGAAGAATAAGATATAAAACTATACTGGGAATCGTCTGTGACGGTTTGTCGAGTATGAATGTTTAATTATGTAGGTAGGTTGTAGTGACTGAAAAGGAATCAATACTGATGACCAAGGGCTTTTTATATATTTAAATTTTTCTGTTTCTCGATTTTCCTGATCTATAGAACCTACGAGGTCTATGCTCTTGCCATGAATTCCAGATTACCTGATAGTGATGACTGAGAGCTTCGGCACTGAGCGGGATCAATTGATACAAAAATCCATGGTGTGGTAGCAGGGGTCGCGGTTTCCATCGCATGTGCCCACACGGATTCGGCATATGGATTGCCCCGGATATAAGTGCTGAAATAGTACATGCGGGGCGCTCTGGGGAGCCCGCGAATAGTAAAGGGGATTAAAGATCGCCCTTGTAGTTAGGTGGTGGAAGAACAACTTCAATTGTTGTTGTGGGAAATACCCTGGTCTAGGGTAAGAAGGCAGCTAACTCCGGGCCCGAGAGCCGGAAGATGATCGTCGGCCGGAGTGGGATCGGCCGGAAGTGGGATAGCCCTGCAAATTCTAGCCTTGGACTACGATGATGTATAAGCATCCCATCCAACACCTTGCCCCGGACAGCCGGCAGTGATGTTATTGAGAACAAATGAGGGGCGGGGTGACGAATCCAGGGGCTGACTGGGTGGCAATCAGGTCTGTCGAGTGAGAATATAGTGAGTTGGGCGTTCAAGACCCCGTCCGTCCATTATCCCACTCTCCGGATCCCACCTCCACGCTCTCCTGCATCATCCCACTGTTCATCCCACAGCTATCCCACAGCCGTCCTATGCCCGCGGTCGCCATGGAAGACGGTCCCCGCCACGCCTGCCATTGCGGCAAGAGCTTTATCAGAAAGGAGCATCTGCGCAGACACCAGGCTACACACGGCGAACGCTCGCACATCTGTCACATTTGTGAACGATCCTTCACTCGCAAGTAGGTTTCCACAACGCACTCCCACCCTGTCCCTATGGCTCCCTCCCTGCCCCAAGAAGTTTCGGTTTCTCACGCCAAATGTTGCGAGTCGCTCAGTGATCTTTTGAAGCGACATCTTCTGGTACATTCCTCCGAGCCGGCACCCACCGCGAGAACCTCCCAGGCCTGTGATGCCTGCCACGAGAGCAAGACGAAATGTGATGGTGGCGAGCAATGCTCACTATGCACAAAGCGAGCCATCCAATGCACATATTCTAGGTTAAAGCCACCGAAAAGGAAGGCTAATTTCGACGACGGTGACTTGACTGCAATTGATTTGACTAATGGGATCTCGGATGGTGTTATTCCCCAGAGTAATCAAAAGAATGGAACAACAAGCAATTCGGGTGCCATGTCTGGAAGTGCCAAGGATCTGCCAGGGCCAGGGATCTCCGAAATAAATAATGACAAAGCCATGCTAGTGGATGATTCCTTGGACGACACTGCACGAAACGAGGCCGCCAGGACAGGGTTGAGGTTCATCCATCAGTTGGTATCTGCTGCTTCAGCCGGGCAGGACCCCCCGAATCAGCCGCAATCTTCACACCACAAAACTTGGATCTCGGACTGTATTGAGACTTATTTCGCCCGCTTTCATGAACGCTGGCATATTGTTCATCCTCCTGTTTTTGATCCGACAAATGACGATATTTTCGTCGTTAGCTCTGTCATCGTGGTGGGGTCTCTACTTCGAGATAATTTATCCATTAGAAGCACCACTATTCAAGTTCATCAACGGTTGATGGCTCATTTATTTCGATCTTTTGTATGTTTTTTATCCTTGTTTTCAAAAAATTCTGTCTTTGCGGATGTCGTTGGTGGCAATAACTAACAATGCTAGGTTGTTCCCAATGAGGAGACCTCTCTCTCCCCTTGGCCTTTCCAAGCGTACCAGGCATGCATAATTAACATTGCTTTCGCATTGGAGAGTGGAGTAAGTTTCTATCATATAATAATTAAAGGTTACCTTTGATACCGAGTTTCTAACCAACATCAATCAGAACTCCCTTTTGATTCGGACGGCCGCCAGACTATTCAGTCTTGTTCTGATTACTTTGAGAGAAAAAGGCGCCTTTGACGATAAAACTCTCAAACACCACCAATCAAAACATTACCCTGGCACTTTTATACCATGGCTCGTCATTGGCCTTGATCAATGGTCTTGGTAGGTCATGGAACCACTATGGATAAAGTGATGATGAACCAGGTTGCTAATACGAAATCTGCCCAGGGTCGCCACTTTGGCGCTCAAAATCGACGCTTATTTCACACTAACCACCTATCAACCTCCAATCGTCCGCCCAGAAGAGATCAGTTTGAGGCTGTCCTCGCCATTTTCGAGATGCAATGCCTACGGGCTCGATGTGTTTTTCAGCCGCGAGTCTAAGCAGCCACAGGACAGGCAACGTGCTGCGATATCTGCAGTGGCCCAAAGCCCACAATCACTGCCTCTGTCTGGAACGTTGATAGAAGACGTCCAGCTGGGACTCTGGGGTGCTTTACAACGAATCTGGATTTGGAAGCTAACTCAAAACACCTACATGCCCCTCTCTCCACAAGCTCTTGCTGAGCGTGCCCATTTCGAGGTGCAGCTGGATGGCTGGGCATCAGAACTTGACCGACTTTTCCATATATGGAATGCGCCAGAGCAGGATCCAATGGCTTCTTCCTTCCTGTTGCAAGCATATTGTGGAAAGGAAGAGCCAACCCACGAGGGCTGGCAAGGACTTGTTCTGGCGCGCATAGGGCATCATCTTTTTAACACGTCGATGTTATACTACTGCATCAACTTGCATCTTTACGCAGACATACGGACTATCGCTCGGAATACGACCTTGCCTGCACAAGATGCAGACGTGAATGCCCTGCTCATTCAATGGGCAAATTCAGAATCTGGGAGAAATTCCATGACCTACGCCATCAGTGTGCTTAAGACGTGTGAAAAGACGTACGCTGGAGACTGGCCACCGAACGAAACCTTCGATCCCATAGTACAAATATGCCTGATTAACGCCGCGTTGGTGGCACGGGCATGGGCTACATCTGAGTCCAGGACATGCACGTGTGCAATTCTCGGCACATCCGTCGATATTGATTTAGATGATAAGGGCCGCCGACAGCTCTGGATTCAGAATGGAGGAGCAATAACTGTAGATCGTATCCCCATATGTAATTGTGCCATTGAGGTCTGGCTGGCGCGTTTTCGGACAGTGTTGGGACGAGGAGCGCGAGTCTGGGAGCTTGATGAGGAGCTGAAGCGTGTCCTGCTGCCGGCGGCTATGTAAGCTGTGGTAGTGTTTATCATTGACCCTTGTATCGGGGAAAGGACACGTTTCTGCTATGGCGTTTTGGGGAATGTAGCTATTTTCATTATCAAATATATGGCGTCTTCATTTGTCAGCACGCACTGGTTGCTAAGAAACCATGACCCGTGCCCTCCATGATCTCATAAGCATGCCGGGTTTGGAACTACGCCC